CCAAGCACAAAAAATTGTAAATCTACAACTGTACCTCATGGTGTTTCACTAATAAAAAAAAAAAGAAAATGAAATGATAAGAATATTTGATGCAATTATAAGCAATTATTTTTTTTTGCTTTTTGGGTCCGCCTGGCAATGCATAGGGGTTCCTCCTGGCTCTGCACTCAGGAGTTACTCCTGGCGGTGCTCAGGGGACCATATGGGATGCTGGGAATCGAACCCGGGTTGGCCGCGTGCAAGGCAAACGCCCTACCCGCTGTGCTATCTCTCCAGCCCCAATTATAAGCAATTTTAGAGTTTTTTTAAATAAGGTTCTTCTCTGGAATGGTTTAGGCTTTATCTCAAGGTATTAGCATAAGACTGGAGAAATAGAACAACAGGTAAAGCACTTGCATTGCACGACGTGACTGGCAAGACTGGATTCCCAGCATCCCATATGATCCCCTGACCCCACCAGGAGTGATCCCTGAGTCAGGGCCAGAAATAAGCCCTTAGTGCAGCCGTGTGTGGGCCCCAAACAAGAAATAAGTAGACAAATAAAACTTTAGAATAAGCTTGGAGGAATAGTGCAGGGGCTTCTTATAGTGCCCACCTTGCAAATGTATGGTCAGGAGCTTCAATCCCTGGTGTTGCCACAAGTGCTGAGTAGAATCCAGGATGCTCTGCTGTTTGCCATCCCCAGTGCTACAGGCAATTTGTTGTGGCTCCCCAGCCAGGTACGTGTGAGCACCACAAGGGGTATGACCCTGGGGTTACACCTGAGCCAAGTGAGGGTGGCACACAACCAAAGGAACAAGCCCTTTGGGGAGCACCACAGCTGATGTGTCACCCCCATCAGTAGCACAGCTGAAAACTTCCAAATCCCACCACCAGCCGTGTGCTCCACTCATAGTAGGAGCCATGACAACCACAATGGAGGGAAAGGAGAGAGCAGAGGGACTTACACACACACACACACACACACACACAAAGGACACATACTGTTAAATAACTTTGTTAATCACAGTTCTCTAATAAAAAGGAAAAAGTTAATATAAAACAAAATCCATAAAGGTACTTGTTGTTGTTGTTTGTTTTGTTTTTCGGCCCACACCCAGTGAGATTACTTCAGGAATTACTTCTGACTCTGCACACAGGAATTATTCCATAAAGGTACTTTCAATTGGTGTTTGAGAACCTAAGCAATGGGGCCTCCCAGGGGACACCAAGCCAAGGAGTAAACACCACAGCCAATACTGTGAGACCCCCAGCCATCGCAACAAGAGAAGCAAAGTTCAAAGGGAACAAAAGAGGGAAGAAGTATTTGAACAACCAAAATCAGCCATTCCCTATCACTGAAGCAGCATAATTCAAATGTCTTGTGTGATTCATACATCTGGACGTCCATGAGTGCTCAACCCCATGGATTGTGTCCAGCCATCCGGGGCAAAGGAGAGATCGTTCCATTCTTTAGAGTTGTCTCTTAGTTTTACAAGTGGGAACATTTAGCTTGATGAGATCATTTGTTCTACTACTTTGTGAACTGGCATTACCCCCAACAATTACAGCGAGGGACTGAAGCATATTTTGTTTTTCTAAGTACTAGTCTTACCTAACTCAGGTTCTATGATTGAAATCCATAGAAAGGAGAGTCAATTTTACCACGGGAAAACTTTCAGTGATTCAGTGTTTTCTCTCCACACATGCTTGCTTGACTTTGTGGGAAACGTTTTGTTTCCTGGTTTCCCAAATAAAAAAAAAATCTTTCTGGGCCTGGAGAGATAGTTTTTACAGGGATCAAGGTGCTGGCTGAGGGAGCTGGAGGGATAGCACAGTGGGTAGGGCGTTTGCCTTGCACGTGTCGGACCCGGGTTCGATTCCCAGTATCCCATATACTCCTCTGAGCACCGCCAGGAGTAACCTCTGAGAGCAGAGCCAGGAGTAACCCCTGTGCATTGCCGGGTATGACCCAAAAAGAAAAAAAACGTGCTCACTATGGCTTAGCACTTAACACTTCCACCCACCGAAAAACGTCCCACCTTCCTAAATTAATGGAGAATAAAGAGAAGCAGTAAACTTGGGATTTGGGATTGTAGCTTTTCATTTATGGGAATATATTCCATCTGGGAGTAGGATAGCGAGTTAGAGCAGAAGGAAAAGAAAAGGAGTACAGGTTTGTGGAGGGAAGGGAGGAAGCAGAAAAGGAAAGGGTCCTCTGAGACCTGCAGAAGTACAGAGGAGAGGACAAGAGCTGACCCTAAGCAAGACGTAGCAACTCAGATTTCCCCTTCTCTCCCTTGCAGGTTTCCCCTCCTCTCCCTTTCTTTTGTTTTTGTCCTTATTTTGTTTTTGGGCCACACCCAGCAGTGCTCAGGGCTTACTCCTGGCTCTGTGCTCAGAAATCACTCCTGGCAAGCCCGTGGGACTGTATGTCACATATATAAAGAGAATCTTCCCTTGTGTATCTCTATCACTTCATCTTTTCGAGGTATTGGGCTTTTCTAGGTATCGTTGGGCTCCTGCTTCTAACTCTTGACAGTTGTAAGTAATGCTGCAAAAAACAAAACAAAACAAAAAAACCCAACAAGGTGGTGCTTAGATCTCTTTGAATTAGTGTTTTTTTATATTTGGGGGGTAAATCCAGAAGCAGGAAAACTGGATTTTATGGAATTTGTATTCTTAATTTTGGAGAATCCCCCAGATTATGTTCTCCATAATCGCTGCACCAATTTACATTCCCATCAACAACATACAAGTGACCCCTTCTCTTCACATGTTCCTTTTTTTTTTTGAAACGTGTGTGTGCATGTGTGACACTGCACGGTGCTCAGGGGCTTCTCTCCTAACTATGTTTGGCGGGGAGATGGAGTTTCACTCCTGGCAGTTCTCAGGGTGCAATGGGTTACTGGGGATTTAGCTTCCCTTATGCAAAATGCATGTGCTCAGAGCCATTTTCTAGACTTATGCTATTTTATTTCATTTCATTTATTTATTTATTTATTTTGCTTTTCAGGTCACACCTGGCTTTGCACAGGGGTAACTCCTGGCTCATGCACTCTGGAATTATCCTGGCGGTGCTCGGGGAACTATATGGGATGCTGGGAATCAAACCCGGGTCCATCGCGTTCAAGGCAAACGCCCTACCCGCTGTGCTATCGTTTCAGCCCCAACCTATGCTATTTTAAACTCCAACTTGTTTTCTTCTTCCATGCTCTTTCGCTCTGGTGTTATCTTCACTGGGCAGCAAGAAAACTCCAGGAGAGCAAGGATTGCTATCAGGTTTTTATGGCTAGTGCCTCGAAGGGCATACAAGCCCAATGAAGACTTACAATAAAATTTTTTGTACGCACGGAGAGCAGGAGCATCAGAGGAGCCCGGTAACACCGCTGCATCCCTATCTTTCTGGCTTAGTAGCCCCTGGAGCAGTAGTCAAAAGTCCTTCACACCTATCTTTGGAAAGTTAAGGGGGGAAAAATTCTAGTTCACAGTTAACCCTGATTACATGTATAATTTTAATGATCTACTCCTGGGGTAGGTCATTTGAAATTCTCAAATTCCTTTATAGTATGCTAGTAAGATATTTTAAAATGTATTTCTTTAAAATAAATTTGGATTGAACTTGGTAAAACACCCTTTAGTCTTTTCTTTCTTTTTTCTTTTTGGATCACACCTGGCAATGCACAGGGGTTACTCCTGGCTCTGCACTCAGGAGTAACTCCTGGCGGTGCTCAGGGGACCATATGGGATGCTGGGGATCAAACCCGGGTCGGCCGCGTGCAAGGCAAATGCCCTACCCACTGTGCTATCGCTCCAGCCCCTATACCCTTTAGTCTTAAATGTACTAACAGTTTATTATTAATAATTCATATCTGGTGTGATTAGGAAGTGACAGTAAGAGGGGATAACAAATGATACTTAAAAAAACAAAAACAGATAACATGATGCTCGCTATAGCCATGCTACCAGACCCAGGGCCAGGATGTTTCACTCTGGGCGCCCCAGAGGGGGGGCGGGTGAGAACCCCTCCCTGACCTAAGGGATCCAGTCCCAGCAACTAAAAACCTGCACAACCTAGCCGCCACCATACTCAAGGCTGCTCCCCACATGCTTGGGCCAAGCCTTGAGCACCAGTGAACTTATTCCTGGACCCTAGGGCTACATTCTTGTCCATGTGACACATCATAAAACACACCCTACCCAGACTCCAAGAGTACCACACCACATTTCATGGGGTTCAAATAGTAGGCAACCAATAATAGAGGAAAAAATATATATATATACAGTTGTACATTTACAGATATATATATATATATACTAAATTTCACAAGGCTCAACCTTTATCAACGTGTTAGTGATATCTTATAGAAGGCCTTATGGCCCCTGCAAAAATAGAACAATCTTCATACTCTTTCCTCTATGGATACTTTTTTGTAGCATTTTCAGCCTTTTTTTTTTTCCCTTCGGTTCTGCTTTGGGATAGGAATTGGGGTTGTGATGGAAACATCCCAAATCTGGTGGGGGGAAGGTGTAATGGTGGTGGGATGGGTGTTTGACTATTAAATGTAATCAAATATTGTGAACTACCTTATAAAATTTAAAAATAAAAAAAATCTAGTTCTTTTAAGTCTGGATAGAAAGTTATGGATTCTCCCACTCGGCAAGTATGCCCCTTTTCCAGCTGTTGGTGAAGGAACCGCTGGAAGTGGGGCGATTCCGCCAGCCACAGGATGCTGCGTGTAGCCCCTGCGTGTTGCTGCCGCGGGATGCTGCTACGGGATGCTGGGATGCTGCTACGGGATGCTGGGATGCTGCCGGGGATGCTGCTACGGGATGCTGCCGGGGATGCTGCCGGGGATGCTGCTACGGGATGCTGCCGGGGATGCTGCTACGGGATGCTGCCGGGGATGCTGCTACGGGATGCTGCCGGGGATGCTGCTGCTGTCCCCCAGCGCCCGGCAGCCGGAACGTTGGTGCGCGGCCGCGGCGCCCGGCGGAAGCGCTGGCGTGCGACGCGCGGGCGGGGCCTGGTTGCGCGGCGGCGTGGGGCGAGCCGGTGAGTGTTGCGGGCCCGCACCTGGCTGCGGGGAGGCCGGCGGCCAGGGTTGGAGACCCGGCGGCAGTGAAGGAGGGGCCGGGGCTGCTTCTGCAGGCGGGCAAGGGCGATTTGCGTCCGCGCGCTGCAGCTGCACATGAGATCGGGGGTCACTCGCTGCCCAGAAGGCCCTGGGGTGGGGGGTGGGGGTGGGCGCATGTTCCGGGATAGGCTCGGTACCTTGCCTCCTGCTTTCGTGTGGGCCTCGAGGGGTTGCATCCCACCCTGGAGCCTCGATTTCTACTCCAGCTGCAGTGTGGGGAGAGATGGGGGTGGGGGGTAGGGGGAACCGTCCTCCTGGCTCCGAGCTTGGCGCAGCGAAAAGCTGCTTTTGGCGGCTGTTGGTTGGCAGCTAACAGGACCTGTGTGATGGGGGTCGCATCAGCTGCTGGGGGAAAGGGACTTTTTTTTTTTTCCTGGGCTTGGAGTTCCAGGAAGCCGATCAACAGTGTTTGTAACCAAGGGGGTTACTGGGATTCACGGGCCTCGGGTACCCTGATCTCCAGGGCTGCTTTCTGACCTTAGCCTTCTGCACTGTAATCGTCATTTGGGAATATAAAAACGTCCCCTGTAGCATCTGCAGTTGGATGGGCTGAGTACCTCAGCACCGGCCTCGTTTTTGCACTTTGGAGAAGTTTCTGGTGGAGAAGTCTTTGGAAGTATGTAGTGAGCCCCAGGCCTTCAGGCTTGCATGTTCTGTTTCCGTTTGTTTCTTCACTTCCAGACAATATCAATAAGCTAAAAATAAAATGTGGCTTAGGGACCGCAGTGATAGTACAGTGTTGGTCATACATGGGGATAGATCCCCGCACAGCTTCTGGTCTTCAGAGCACCCACACCCCAGCTCCACTATGTATAGTTTATTTTTTTTGTGGGGTCTACACCCAGCTGTGTTAAGGGCTTACTCCTGGCTCTGCTCAGGGATCACTCCTGGCAGGCTCCTTGGCCTAGATGGGATGTTGGAGATTGAACCCTCCAGGGGACATAGCATATTAAAATAGCGCAGCTGTTAAGAACTAAATCACTTCTTACTTCAGAATACTAGAGTGGATCAAACAAATTTGATCAAACAAATCTCTTCCAAATGTTAGGGGTGCTTTGCTCATTCAGCAAGAGGAAGACAGAATTTTAGTAAATAATAACTAATTATAGCAGGTGCCATAGAAAGAGAAGTGGATTTGAGTTCCAGAAGTGCATTTGTAGATCAGTTCTTTAGATTTTATTATACAAAAATAATGCAAATACTGGTTGTCGTCTCTCTCTCTCTCTCTCTCATTTTCGGGACACATTTGGTGGTGCTCAGCGCTTATTCCTTGCTCTGTGCTAAGGGGTCACTCTTGGTGTATCTCAGGGACCATGCGGGGTGCCAGGGATCAAACGGGTTAGCCGTGTGCAAGGCCAATCTCTGTTCTGTTTCTCCGGCCCTCGTTATGGTCTCAGTCACCATGACCAATGATTTGAATATTGTGCTTATGCCAGTGATGTGTTTGTCCTTTGTGCCTTGGCAGTCAGGTTTCCTTTGGTGCAAGGAAGAAGATCCCTTATGGAAACTAAGAGTGAGAATATAGGTAGTAGGTGGGACACATGAGGATGTTAATGATCTTGGATTATAGTTAATAGGTTTCCATCATTATCACCGATTATTAGGGACAGAAGTTAAGTTCTTAATGAAAAAATAATAGAAACAAAGAAACCAAACACCATAATCCTCTTATCCTGGAAATCACTTATCCTTTTTATTACAGACTCCTGCCTGACAGAAAGGGTTATGGTGAAGAAATAGTACAGGGTTAAAGTGCTTGAATCAGGTAACTCCAGTTAAGACACTGTCAGGAATGCCCTGTGAGCACAATCAGGGGGGCCCTAAAACAAGTAGAAATTTTTATTTGTTAAAGGGCTAAATACTACCTTCATGTATTTTTTTTCTTTGTGTTTTGGGCACACCCAGTAATGCAGGTGGGGAGGTGCTGCACCTAGCTCAGTCTCAGAGGTCATTCCTGCCTATGCATGGGACCACGCAGTGCTGGGATTGATCCTGCAACTCCAGTTTGCAAATCATGTAATCATGTCCTCTCACCCATTGGGCTCTTTTTTGGGCCTGTCTTTATGCTGCTGCTTCTCTCTCTCTCTCTCTCTTTCTCTCTCTCTCCTCTCTCCTCTCTCTCTCCCTCTCTCCTTTTCTCCCTCTCTCCCTCCCTCCCCCCACACCGTATGCTCGAGGACCATGTGACCCTGAGTATTAACGCAGAGCTCCCACGTGCAAAGCATATACTAGCCATTTCAGTCGTCTCCCCAGTCCTGTTTTCCTTTTGTAAAACTTTTGGGCCACATTTGGCTTGGTGCTTGGGGGCTACTACCAGATTGGTGCTCAGGGGTCAGGCAGTGACAGGGATTGAACCCCAAGCATCGTGCCCCATCCCTTTTTTGCGGGGGAGGGGGGTCACACCCGGCGATGCACAGGAGTTACTCCTGGTTCATGCACTCAGGAATTACTCCTGGCGTTGCTCGGGGGACCATATGGGATGCTGGGAATCGAACCTAGGTCGGCTGCGTGCAAGGCAAACGCCCTCCCCGCTGTGCTATGGCTCCAGCCCCCCTCCCCCTTTTAAAAAAATTTTTATTAGTGAAACACCATGAGGTACAGTTGTAGACTTACAAATTTTTGTGCTTGGGTTTCAGTTATACAATGATCGAGTACCCATCCCTCCACCAGTGCCCATTCTCCACCACCACTGATCCCAGTATCCCTCCCACCCCCCATCCCCCCGTCCCACCCTGCCTCTGTGGCAGGGCATTCCCTTTTGTTCTCTCTCTCCTTTGGGGTGCTGTGGTTTGCAAAAGAGGCATGGAGTGGCAGTCATGTTTGGTTTATAGTCTAGTTTCAGCATGCTTCTCCCATCCCGGGAGGATCCTCCCAACACCCTTTATTTGGTGCTCCCTTCTCTATCTGAGCTGCCTTTTCCCCTAGCATGTGAGGCTGGCCTCTAGGCCATGGAGTAATCCTCCTGGTGTTGATCTCAGCTATTCTTGGGTATTAATCTCCTATTTTGTTACTTTATATCCCCCAGATGAATGCGATCTTTCTATGTCTATCCCTCTCTTTCTGACTCATTTCGCTTAGCATGATACTTTCCATGTTGTACCACTTGTATGTAAAATTCATGACTTCATCTTTTCTAATAGCTGCATAGTACTCCATTGTGTAGATGTACCAAAGTTTCTTTAACCAGTCATCTGTTCTTGGGCACTCAGGTTTCTTCCAGTTTCTGGCTACTGTAAAGAGTGCTGCAATGAACAAACAAGTGCAGATGTCACTTTAACTATGCTTTTTTGCCTCTCTGGGATATATTCCCAGGAGTGGTATTGCTGCCCCAGCCCTTTGAGTTTGCTCTCCCTCCGTCCCTCTATGTTTTACTTTTAATAATTGAGATTATAGTGTAGGTTTAATATTGTCTCCTTTCATTTTTGAATTCTGAGCTGTAAGCTTTAGCCATTTATGAATAAATTTCTTTAAAAATCCTTAATAAAATAATAGATATGCAGAGGTAGAGAGCGTGCACACTAGTCCCCTATTATCCTCAAGGGTACAACCCGTGACTTTCATTAGACACCTGAAACTACAGATTCTCCCAACCTTTGTCCACACAGTGTTCTTTCCTACACACATGCACTGTTGGGCACAGTTGGAGACTGACCACAGCACTCAGACAACAGAACAGTGAGAACAGTGACCAGGGTAATGTGCCAGAGAACAAGGTTTGGACTGTGCCAAAGGCTGAGCTATCAGTGGTCTACCCCATCTAGAGCTGAGTGAGTGCCCTGTGACCTCACCGTGATGGCACCAACCCAGATGCAGTCTCAGAATGTGGCTCCCTTGTTAAGCCATATGTGACTATGAAAGTTACAGAGATGATGGGCTCTCTCTCTCTCTCTCTCTCTCTCTCTTTCTCTCTCTTTCTCTCCCCCCTCCCTCCCTCTCCCTCTCTCTCCCTCTCTCTCCCTCTTCTCTCCCCCCCACCCCATTTTTTTTGGATTGTTTTGGGACCTCACCCAGAGCTGTTAAGGACTTATCCTGGTTCTGCTTTTAGGGATCACACCTGGTGGGACTTGGGGGACTGTGTGGGTTGCCAGGGACCAAACCCGGGTCAGCTGCATGCAAGCAAGTGCCTTACGCATTGCTCTGGTCTGGCTTGTTTTGTTTTTTGGGTCACCTGGCATTACCCAGCTTGCTCCTGACGCTGCTCAGAAATCACCACTGGTGCTGCTTGAGATTGAACCAGGGTCAGCAGTGTACAAAGCAAGTGCCTTAACTCCTGGTCTCTCTCTCTAGCCCCTCAAAATCGTCTATTTGTAATATTTTAGAGCCACAGTAGGAGACTAGAACCCTGGAAAGCAAAACTGGATAAAGGGGGCCTCGTGTCTAATGAATTGCCATGTAGCCGTAAATCAGCTCTAATAATCTTTAGCTGTGGCTAACCTCGTTCCACTCACACCCATACCCACTTCCCGTGAGGAACCTGTTCAAGGACCTCTGCAGTGCATTCTTTGTGTGTTTTTAAAAAGTAAAAAAAAGTAAAATAAAATATGTAAAAAGATGCTTAAATCTCTTATTGAAAATTGGTGCATAAGTATTCATATTTTTCCATGGGATGAGAAAAATGAGCTCCATGAGGATTTTGTAAAGTATTTTCACCTAATCACACTGCTCAGTAAACTGTAAAGAGTACGATGAATTTGCATTCTGAATTTTTTTCACTTTGTTTTACTTCTCTGTTTTTCAGTTGATTCCATGCATTTGGTAACATCTTAGGAAAACTCACAATTTAATGATTTTTAAAGTCTATTGAAGAATATACAATTAGGAAAAAATGGATGAAGAACCTGAAAGAACGAAGAGATGGGAAGGAGGCTATGAAAGAACATGGTAAGTAGACAAGTGTTCCCACTCCTTTTGGAAGTGTCTCTTTCTTAGCAAACAATATTTTGCTTAATCAGTTTATTTTTAGATCATGCCCAGGTTGTGCTCTGGGCTGACTCCTGGCTCTGAATCATTCCTGATGGGCTCTGGGGACCATACAGGGTACTAGGATCAAACTCAAGTTGGTTGCAAGCAAGAAAAGCACCTTACACATGATAATATGTTTCTGGTTCCTTTTATTTTTTTTTAATTTTTTAAATTTTTTTTATAATTTATTTATTTATTGAATCACTGTGGGAAAAGTTACAGAGCTTTCGGGTTTAGGTCTCAGTCATGTAGATACCGAACACATTTCCCTTTACCAATACTCATTTTTAACCCCGAGCCCCAATAGACCCCCACCTCCCACCCCTCCCAATTCTTGTGAGGCAGATGAGTTCTAGTTAATACTCTATCTACTTTGACTAGATAGATTATTTCGATAGAAGATGCACAATTATTGTTTAGAGTTTACGACCCACCCCCCCCCAATCAGACATGCTGAAACAGCGTTGTGAAATGATTTGCTTTCTACAACTTGGTTTAAGCGGCCGCGCGGTTTTGAATTTCTGCTATTTTACTTATTGACCCTGGAAGAATTTCTATTAAAAGTTAGCTAGTTAAGAGATTGGTTTCTGTGCCCTGGAGTCGTGGTCGTGCCGGAGAGCCGCTCGTGGGGGGCAGCTGGCGACCTCGGTGGGGCGTGGGGGACGGCCCACAAAGCCCCCCTTCCCATGAGGTCCCCGCCGCTCCCCCGAGCCCGGCTCAAACCTGCTTTCCACAAGGCTCCCGTGCGGCCGCCATCTTTCTTTCCAGAGAGGAGCGGGCGGGCCCAGTTCCTTTTATTTTTAAATTAAAAAAAAAATTTGACCACACTTGGCAGTGCTCAGGGCTTACTTCTGGCTCTGTGCTCAGGAGTCTCTTGATGGGCTCCGGGAAACATATGGGGTGCTGGAGATTGAATCTGGTCGGCTGTATGCAAATCAAGTGCCTTACCTGCTGTACTGTCTCTCTGGCACTTGAACTCTTTTTCATAACTGGTAAAATTCAACTGTTTCCTTCTAGTGTATAATTCAGTGAGTTTTAGAAAAATTGCTGAGTTATGGAGTTGTCATTGGAAATCACACCCAACCATGCTCAGGCATATTCCTATATTCCTGGTTCTGCACTCAGGGATCACTTCTTTTTTTTGTGTGTGTGTGTGTGTTTTGGCTTTTTGAGTCACACTGGCAATGCTCAGGGATTGCTCCTGGCTCTGCACTCAGGAATTACTCCTGTCGGTGCTCAGGGGATCGATCATATAGGATACCAAGGGTCAAACCTGGGTTGGCCATCTACAAGGCAAACACCCTACCTGCTGTACAGTTGCTCCAGCCCTACTCAGGGATCACTTCCGGTGGGCTCCAGAGACCATATTGGGTGCTGGGGATCAAACCCAGGCTGCCCATGTGCACGACAAAGTCCCTACCTACTATACTGTCACTCTAACCCTCACATACTATTTTATGTTGTTTTTTGGGGAAGGCCAAACCCAGCGATGTTCAGGGGTTACTCCTGGCTTTGCAATCTTAATTACTCCTGGCAGTGCTTGGAGGACCATTTGGGATTGAACTAGAATTGGCCATGTGTAAGGCGTATGGCCACTGTATACCTCTCCAGCCCCTCACATGCTATTTTTAAGCAGCATACATTCTGTAACTTGTAAATTTAACTTGTAACTTGTAAATAATTCCCTTTTTGTTATGATTATTATACGATTATGTTATGGTATATTTTATCAATTCACCAGCTGGTGAATATTTATATTGTTTATAATTATTAGGTTTTGTTTTGTTTTTGGACCATACCCTTCAGTGCTCAGAGCTTACTCTTGCCTCTGTGCTCAAGGATCACCCCTGATGGGACACGGGAACCATGTAAAGTGTCTGAGATTAAACCTGGTTGGCAAAGTGCAATTGCTTACCTGCTGTACTATCGCTTTGGCCCTATAATTACTGGATTTTATGAATAAATGGAGCTGTGGGCATTCAAGTGAAAATCTTTAGACATTTTCATGTCTCAGGTTAATAACTTTTTAGCTTGTCTTTTCAAAGAGGTAATTATTGCTTACAGGGAAATCCTTAAAGAAGATGAATCGGGATCACTTAAAGCTACAATTGAAGACATTCTCTTCAAAGCAAAGAGAAAAAGGTATAGAAACTTTTTTTTTGAGGCATTACTGGTACCTGCTCGAGCAAATTGATGAACAACGGGAGGACAGCGCTACAATGTTGCAGTGGTTTGGGGAGCCATACCCGGCAGCGATTAGGAACGACTTCCTGCTTCGTGCTTGGGAGTCATTCCTGGTGGTACTGAGGGACCTGGACATTCCAGGGATCAGACCTGGGCCTCCTGCGTGCAAACATGCACTTATTCAGAGTCATCTCTGATCCCTAACTGTAAATAAATTTCACTATTACTATGTTTTAGGTACTGTGATTTGCAATAGTGTTAACATAAAAGGTAAAGGTAAAGGCCCTCCCGTTGATCGTCGATTTGCTCGAGCGGGCCCAGTAACGTCTCCATTGGAGACTTTGTTGTTACTGTGTCTGGCATACTCTCGGTAGCTTGCTGGGCTCTCCGAGAGGGGCGGAGGAATCGAACTCGGGTCGGCCATGTTGGCCGCTTGTAAGGCGAACGCCCTACCGCTGTGCTATCGCTCCAACCCAGTGTTAACATATCAATAGGAAATCAGTGCTGCTTTACCATACCCACCATCAGAGAGACACTTGTCACTCCGTCATATTTCTCAGTTCCACCTCTAACCCTCACACACATACACATGCACGCGCGCACACACTCACGTACGCAGCAAATCCAGTTCACTATGCAGAGCCCCAGCGTCTGTTATTGTTGAAAATTGCCTATGCCCTGTGTGTGGTGTATGAACTTGTGCCTGTCCCATCTTCAGGGCTTTATTCGAGTTGTTTCAGGGACTTTCGTCTGTAGCCCTCAGAGTAAGGTGAAGGAACTCAAAGCAGGAAGGTGGGTCTTTAGGGACTTCCCAAAGTGCCTCTTAGCTTGATGTCATAATTTCCTTCCCTAAGAAATGCATGCAGCTTGAAGCATTGATATTTGGGGGGTGGTCTATGATATTCTACTAAAATGTTTGCATAATTTTAACAGAGTATTTGTGCACCATGGGCAAGTTCGACTTGGAATGGTATGTTATTTTTTTTCTTTATTGGTACAGAATTTATATGCATTTATATGTATGCATGCACGTATACATATGTACATACAAACATATAAAAATACTAAATACCATTTTTACTTCTTGGTTAAAAATGTATATATACATTGTACTTATTTGTGGCTGTTGTTTTGTAGATGCGCCATCTTTATGTGGTAGTAGATGGATCAAGAACAATGGAAGACCAAGATTTAAAGCCAAATAGACTGACATGTACTCTGAAGGTATTGGAAAGGCATTATAATATATACCAAATGTGAGAAAGGATACTTTAATCAAAAACGATTTGTTATTAAATGTGCAATCCTTTTTTGGTTTTTTTTTTTTTACTCATTTGCAAGCTATAACCTAGTAGATGTATTCGTAACTCTTTGAGGGAATTGATGCAGCAAAATAGCTAATTATTTCTTCCATTAATTTATACCTTCCTACTTAAAGTCCAGATCTTGCTTTTTCAGCATTTCTTTCTCAGTTGGGGAGAGAGGGGTCGAACCAAACCTGGAGGTGCTCCGGGTCTGCTCTTGTTTGTTGGTTGGTTTGATTATTTTGGGGCCATACCCAGCAAACTCAGGACTCACTCCCGGCAGTGCTCGGGGGTCCATATGGGATGTCGGAGATTCCTAGTTGGCCACATGTGAGTCAGGCATTCGACCTGCTGTAGTGTTGCTCTGGACTTCTTTTCTTTTATTTTTTTCAATTTAATGAAAATAGCCGTATTTGATATGCCAAACATAGTAACAGCAAGTCTCACAATGTTACTGGGCCTGCGCGAGCAAATTGATGAACAACGGGAGGACAGTGACAGTGACAATGAAAATAGCGTAAATAGGCCGCAGATCTACAGCATTACAATTTGATATCTGCATGTGCTGCACTGTGATCACCACACGAAGTCCGATTTCTGTGAACCCCCTTGACTCCTGGGACCAAGTCCACCTGCCCCCTTCCTCTTTCCCCACTAGTAATCACCAGTTTGTTCTGGTAATCTGAGAGAGTTTTTTGTTTTATTTGCTTATTTGTTTTGTTTCTTTATCTTTTGCATGCGATTGAAATCACAGTGTTTCCTTTTTATGTTTTCTTTTAACAGTTGTTGGAATACTTTGTAGAGGAATATTTTGATCAAAATCCTATTAGCCAGGTATGTAGATAAAGGAGGGGATTCCTAATCCTTGATTCCTGATACTACTGCAAAATAGAATTTTGGGAATATATTCTATGAATTAAGAGATCTAGATGCGTGCCAGTTTCTGTACTATTATTGGTGAGAAACAAGCTAACTTTCAGAGTAAATCATATGGAGTAAACACAGTTAAATTTATTTGTCAAAAATCTTGAGATCTCTCACAAGATGCTTATTCTTTCTGTAATTTGTTTGTTTTACCTATGTGACGTATTCAATATGCCAAACACAGTAACAACAAGTCTCACGAAGGAGACATTACTGGGCCTGCTAGAGCAAATCGATGAACAACGGGAGGACCGTGACTGTGACCTATGTGTACTCTTAACAAGAATGATTATTAATGATCGCATTTGTTTTTATTTTCAGATTGGGATAATTGTAACAAAGAGTAAACGAGCTGAAAAACTGACGGAACTCTCAGGTATGCATAGTTCGGTTTACAGGACTCCATGTGGTAGCTGTGTTTGATCGCCTCTTCTGTTTTTCCTTTTGTGTCTTCACTGTTCCTGGCACAGTTCTCAGGGGACTTTCTTGGTGGTGGTCGGGGGACCGTCCAGTGCCAGAGATTGAACCAGGGGCTTCCCAGATGCGGGACATGCCCTCTGAACTGATCCATCTGCCGAGCCTCCATGTAATTAACTTTATAACTCTTTGGAAGTGTAATGGATAAAATAAGGCCCCTTGATGCTCTCTGGGTGAAAAACTTAATAAACCTTTTACTAACTTTTGTATCTGGCCAAGAAGTTACTTGGTCAAGTCCATGCTTTGCATGTGTGTGACCTGGGCTTGATCTTGGATGCTGCAAAAAGAAAACTGAAAAATACTTGGTATCTAATACGAACTATTGTTTTTGGTTGGGGATGGGAAGTGGCTACATACCTAGCTGTGCTCCGCACTCAGGGATCACTCCTGTTGGTATTCAACAGTCCACATGGGTTTCTCAGCTTCTTAGAAGTATTTTTTGCAGTTTCCCCTCCCCTCATTTGTATTGGCTCACATTCACAGGAGGTAGTCTTTTCAGGCAGCAGGAAATGACATAGCTTTGTCTATGGAACTCTTCCTCGGTGGTCTGAGTTACAGCACAGTGGGTGGGACGCTTGCCTTGCATGTGACTTGGATTCAGTTCCTGACACCCCATGTGGTCCCCCAATCTGCGAAAGGGCTATCCCCTTAGCCTAGAACCAGGAGTAAGCTCTGAACACCACTGGGTGTGGCCCCTAAAACAAAAACAAACCCCAAAAAGATGCATTGTGATTTTGTTTTGTCTTGATTTGTTGTTTTGGGGCCACACCCAGCGATGCTCAGGGGTTACCACTGGCTCTGCACTGAGGAATTACCTTTGGTGCTCAGGGAACCATATTGAATGCCAGGAATTGAACCCGGGTCAACCTTGTGCCAGGCAAGCGCCCTATCCACTATATAATTGCTCTGGCCCCACATTGTGATTTTAGAGGTGTTAAAACCTTGAGGTGAGTCTTACAAATGATTAAAAAAGGAAACTAACAAAAGTAAAAGGTATAGGCTTCTCCGTCTCTGGGGAAGCCTGCACTCTCTCTTGAGTGCATTACTCTAACCTCTTCCACTTTCACTCCCTCTTCCTCTTCAAGACCTCCAAATAAAATCTGTCTTACTTAAAAAAAAAAAGAAAAGGGTATATATTCTTTCTAGGTTATTACTTAAAATGTGCTCATAATAAGACATTGTTTATGTTGTATTTTTTCATTAGATATGAGACTTTCTAATATTTTTGAAGACTGTAATTTTCTCAAAACGAAAATTGAATAGTTCTGTTCTTTCCTACATAAGTCAATTTGGGAGAAGTGAATTTTTAAAAAATTTTATTTAAAAAAATTTTTTTGCCTTTTGGGTCACACCCAGCGATGGTCAGGGGTTACTTCTGGCTCTGCTCTCAGGAATTACTCCTGGCAGTGCTTGGGGGACCATATGGGAGGCTGGGATTGAACTCAGGTCAGCAGCATGCAAGGCAAACACCCTACCTGCTGTAATGTCACTCAGGCCCCTGAATGTTATTTTTTGTTTTGGGGACCACAACTTGCAGTGTGTAGGGTTTACTCCTGGCTCTGCTCCCAGGGTTCATTCCTGGTAAGCTCAGAGGACCATATGGGGTGCCAGAGAGTGAACCCAGGTCTTCTATGTACAAAGCAAATGCCCTACCTACTGTATATTATTGCTCTGGTTCAGAAAAAAAAATTTTTATAATGCACAGATTGATATACATATATATATGATATTGTTCAAAGTAAAGAGTAAGAGATTATTTTATTTCTCCATTAGGTAATCCAAGGAAGCATATAATGTCTTTGAAGAAAGCAGTGGATATGACTTGCCACGGAGAACCATCTCTTTATAACTCCTTAAGCATGGCTATGCAGACCTTGAAGTTAGTCTTTTGTATTTATTATTTAGAATTGATTTCAAAGTTTGTTGAATTTATTGCAATAATATGTTAATGTGTATTTTCACAAACCCAGCTATAATGATCATTATTAATAGAGATTTAGTCATTAGTAACGATGAGTGTTTGTGAGTAACGTGGCCAGAACTGTAGGGCCCCCGGAGATGTCTCAAAGGGCTGGAGTGCAGGCCTGGTGTGCACAGGGCTCCCAGTTCCCAGTCCCCAGTGTCCCGTGCTTCCTGAGTCCATGGGAATAGCCTTGGTAGCCCCCAGCAGTGCTGAGGAGGCTCTCTTCCTGCCCCCCCCCCAATAAAACAACTAGCAATATTTGTAGTCCAGAACTATTTTATTGAGGGGCCAGGAGAGAGTATAGCCGTGAAGGCGCATGCCAAGCATGCATCCAACCTGAATTTAATTCTTGGTACCATGTGGTCCCCTGAGCACCAGCAGGTCAGCACTGGAGGCTCCTGAGCACTGCTGAGTGGCCAGGGAAGGCCCTTGCACCTCAGGACTGAGCAATATAGTATTTTCAGACCCTGGCATTAAATCACTGGCTCAGTTGGCTGATAGTCACCGATGCGGCTCTCAGGCCTCTTGCACACATCTTGGAGGATGGGGGTGTAGAGTGTAAGTTTATTGAAAATTTAGTGTACGTAGAATGTAGTGTGATATGTTAAACATTTATTGACTTGCTAGTACAGCCAGGTAGGGTACTGGCCTTGCCTGCAGCCAACCTGGGTTTGATCCCCAGCACTCTGTGTGGCCTCCACTCCCTCCTCCCATAAGCCCACAAGGAGTGATCCTTGAGCACAGAGCCAAGAGTAAGACCTTTGGGTGTGTTCCCACCCTGAACAAACAAAATAAGTATTAACATGCCTTTTCAGCAAGTGCAACTCTGGCATATAGCTAAGATCCTGAAGGAAGTAAGATAATTGAGCAGATATGTCTTAACCTTTTCTAGTCTGTCCTGGCTCATAATTTTATACTCACATGTAATATATTTCAGGTTTTGAAGTAGATGACTAACATAAGTAACAAAGGTGGACACAGTTGCAACATCTGAAATATGAAAACTGAAGCCTTACAAGATGTAAACACGAGAACTTAAAAATAACTGGCATAGTTGCTCTAGAAAAGTAGAGATCTCTGTGTAGCATAAGGAAAAATTGCTCATCGTTTCTTAAAATCTCATCAGTCATAACTTAAGTGATACACAAACAGTGGTTTGCTTTTGTGTTTCACGTTTTTTTTTTTTTTTGCCACACCCAATGATGCTCTGGGGTTATTCCTGGCCCTACACTCAGCAGTTACCCCTGGCAGTGCTATGGGATGCAAAGCAAAAGCCCCACATGCTGTTTTATCACTTTAGCCCAGTACTTTATATGTTTTCTAATATATACTTGGTACTTTGTATAAACAAATCTGGAATGTATAAAAAAATTGAATAAACAAAGCATGATGTCAGAATCCTGTTTATTATTAGCTCCCCAGATGTGAAGAAATGCTTCTTAGATTTTGATGGAACATTTCAGTGAATTCAATGTGGGTAGGGCGTTTGCCTTGCACGCAGCCAACATGACCGACACAGGTTTGATTCCCAGCAGCCCATATGGTCCCCTGAGCACCGCCAGGAGCAATTCCTGAGTGCATGAGCCAGGAGTAACCCCTGAGCATCACCGGGTGTGATCCAAAAAGAAAAAAAAGAAAAAAGAAAAACTAATTTTAGCAAAGTTTAGATTAAGGTCTTACAGTTTATTCCAGTTTATTCCTTGGTATTATTGAAAGTAAGGTATCCTGTAGTCTGACTGTGTAAATCATGTGTATACTACCATTAGCTTAATTTGTTATACCTCGTTGAAGAGTGTCTTATCTATCTTATTTTAGACATATGCCTGGACATACAAGTAGAGAAGTTCTAATCATCTTCAGCAGCCTTACAACTTGTGACCCATCTAATATCTATGATCTCATAAAGGTAGAACTGATAATTTCTTTATAACCCAAATTAATATTACAACTCTGAAGAGAATAATGTAATGGATTTGTTACTAGTTTTTAGAGCCTCCTATCAGACATACTGACATATTAATGCTTTTTTTTTTTTCTTTTTTCCAAAACCTTCCATTTACTTGGATTTTACAAGACCCTAAAGGCAACTAAAATCAGAGTATCAATTATTGGATTGTCTGCAGAAGTTCGGGTTTGCACTGTACTTGCTCGTGAAACTGGTGGTACATACCTAAAATCTTTAATATTTATTCATATGTAAGAGGTGTTAATTAATTAGGATTTTTTTGTTACAGTCTGTGTAAGCTTCTAAACTTAAATTTGTTCATGTTCTGTAATTCACAATACAGGTAGTCGCCTTAAATATATCATTGATTCTGTAAGATAATGTCTCAAAATGTCTGGAATTTTCAGTAGTTATGTTAAGGGTTAGAGGGGAAGCATTATAACTCTTAGAAAGCAGAAAATTTCATGATATGAAATACTTGATAAAGATCTTTCAGTTGATTTGAATTAAATTATAATTATTTTTTTTTGATAAGTCAGTGTAGAGATACTATTTGTGTAAAGTTTTATAAAACTATGATTTAGCTTGAGGGCTGGAGCGATAGCACAGCGGGTAGGGCGTCTGCCTTGCACGCGGCCAACATGGCCGACCCGAGTTCGATTCCTCCGCCCCTCTCGGAGAGCCCGGCAAGCTACCGAGAGTATTCGATATGCCAGACACAGTAACAACAAAGTCTCCAATGGAGACGTTACTGGGCCCGCTCGAGCAAATCGATGATCAACGGGAGGGCCTTTACTTTACTTTACTATGATTTAGCTTAAAATTTATTTTGAGGGGCTAGAGAGATAGCACTGCGGATAGGGCGTTTGCCTTGCATGCTGCCGACCCGGGTTTGAGTCCCAGCTTCCCATATGGTCCCCTGAGCACCGCCAGGAGTAACTCCTGAGTGCAGAGCCAGGAGTAAGCCCTGTGCATCGCCAGGTGTGACCCAAAAGGCAAAAAAAATAAAAAATAAAAAAAAATTATTTTGAAAATGCTTAATTTCTCATGTGCTTAATTTTTACATAATTGCAAAATAGTTATAATTCTTGTGTCTGGAATCCTGATTTTTTTTTTCTTCTCCCTTTTACTTTCCATCTTGTTAGGAACATACCATGTTATTTTAGATGAAAGCCATTATAAGGAGTTGCTAACACATCATGTTAGTCCTCCTCCTGCAAGCTCGAGTTCCGAATGCTCACTTATTCGTATGGGTAAGTGTTTATTTTGGGCTTTTGGGGTGATGAGGGGGTGGTGCACACGCAGCGACGTTCTGGGCTTACTCCTGGCTCTGTGCTCAGGGTTCACTCCTGGTGGGCTTGAGTAACTGTGTGGTGCAGGGGACCAAAGCCGGGTCAGCTGCGTGCGAGGCAAGCATCCCACTTGCTGTACTGTTGCTCCAACCCCCTTTATTCTGTTATTTAAAATGGATTTGTAAAACTCCCTTCTGGCTGAAGGACCAGGACCGCAGCTCAGTGGTAAGCTCTTGTCGCAGTGGGCGGCCCGCTTTCATTCTGAGGCAGGATCTTTGGGGTGTGGCAGATTTTTTCACTATGCAAACAATAACAGAGAACAGTCTCACACACACAAAAATGTGTTTTGGCTTAAAGTAGACTTTTTTTTCCCCCATTTTTACAAGTCATCATTTTCATGTTTTAAGAATTTGTTTTAACAGTGCTTTATAGTTATAGAAAGTTAATGCTATTGAAGCAAATTATTCAGAGCCAGGAGTAAGCCCTGAGCACTGGTGGATGTAACCCCCAAACAAACAAAAATAAATAACTAAAATATAGTGAAACACCATGGGGTACAGTTGTAGACTTACAAACTTTCGTGCTTGGGTTTCAGTTATACAGTGATTGAGTACCCATCCCTCCACCAGTGCCCATTATCCACCACCAATGATCCCAGTAACCCTCCCACCCTCCCCAAACTCCCCCACCCCGCCTCTGTGGCAGGGCATTCCCTTTTGCTCTCTCTGTCCTTTAGGGTGTTGTGGTTTGCAGTATAGGTATTGAGTGGCCATTGTGTTCGGTCTATAATCTGCTTAAAAGAATCACTTTTTATACATACACCATGAGTCCCGTTTGTGTATTTTGTGGAGGGCCTCCTGATGCAAAGCATGCGCTTTAGCCATTTGAGCAATCTCTAGCTCCATCCGAAACAAAAACTTTTTTTTTTTTTTTGATGAAGCATGATAAATTTTTAGGGAGATGCCGGGCAAGCTTGCACCACACACGGTGGTGCCTTGGGCTGACTCCTGGCTCTGTACTCAGGGAGTACTCCTGGCAGGCTCAGTTACATGACGGCAAGGGTCCTACCACTTAACTGTCCTCCAGCCTGCAAGATAGCTTTTACTGAACAAAATTTGTGTAGAAAGATGTGAGGAGAGAGAAGGAGAGAAGTTCTGTGTTCAAGAGAGATCTTGAACAGATCGCCTCAAGGCATCATCAGAGTGGAAAAAGCAAACATCCATAGAGACAGGCAAGGCTCCTCTCTGGAAAGAAAGATGGCGGCCGCACGGGAGCCTTGTGGAAAGCAGGTTTGAGCCGGGCTCGGGGGAGCGGCGGGGACCTCATGGGAAGGGGGGCTTTGTGGGCCGTCCCCCACGCCCCACCGAGGTCGCCAGCTGCCCCCCACGAGCGGCTCTCCGGCACGGCCACGGCCCCGGAGGCACAAGGACTTAGCACAGAGAACCAGCCGCTTGGAGCAGAAAAGCAAATGGACTTGTGTTAAAACGCACCACCAAGCCTGCCCGGAGGGGGAAGGGCGTTGACCGGCCCGCCCGCTCCTCTCTGGAAAGAAAGGTGGCGGCCGCACAGGAGCCTTGTGGAAAGCGGGTTTGAGCCGGGCTCGGGGGAGCGGCGGGGACCTCATGGGAAGGGGGGCTTTGTGGGCCGTCCCCCACGCCCCACCGAGGTCGCCAGCTGCCCCCCACGAGCGGCTCTCCGGCACGGCCACGACTCCAGGGCACAGAAACCAATCTCTTAACTAGCTAACTTTTAATAGAAATTCTTCCAGGGTCAATAAGTAAAATAGCAGAAATTCGACATCATTTTATTCTTAAACCAAGTTGTAGAAAGCAAATCATTTCACAACGCTGTTTCAGCATGTCTGATGGGGGGAGGGGGGTGGGTCGTAAACTCTAAACAATAATTGTGCATCTTCTATCGAAATAATCTATCTAGTCAAAGTAGATAGAGTATTAACTAGAACTCATCTGCCTCACAAGAATTGGGAGGGGTGGGAGGTGGGGGTCTATTGGGGTTCGGGGTTAAAAATGAGTATTGGTAAAGGGAAATGTGTTCGGTATCTACATGACTGAGACCTAAACCCGAAAGCTCTGTAACTTTTCCCACAGTGATTCAATAAATAAATAAATTATAAAAAAAAATAAAAAAATAAAAAAAAAAACATAGAGACAGGCAAGCAAGACACATGTTCACAGGAGAACAGTTTTCAAGAGCAAACCACTTTTTTTTTTTAAATAAAGTAATACATGTTAGAAAGCATAGATAGGAACTTCAGAAACTTGACTTTGATAGACAGAATCTCCCTATTTCTTCCCCTCTGAAGTTTTCTTGTAGCCTGAAGTCACAGTCCGTTTCACTGTGCTCTAATAGGCAGATTGAAAATGAGAAAGAGAACTTTAGTACAACCTTGTGTGCTCTCTGGCTAGAACCTGGTTAGGTTCCTGGTCTTAATTTGCGGCTCTTTGCTCGGAGAAAAGATGGTAACTCACTTTCTTCTATGAAGGATTTCCTCAGCACACCATTGCCTCTCTGTCTGATCAAGATGCCAAACCCTCTTTCAGCATGGCGTAAGTGAAAAGCCCCACACTACCAGGGACACTGTATTGGGATTTTATTTGAAACTGCTGAGGAAGAGAGATGGGGGGGGAGGGGGAGGACAGTGGAGAGAGAGAGAGAGAGAGAGAGAGAGAGAGAGAGAGAGAGAGAGAGAGTATAACGTGCCCAAGAGAGAACGCGGGCTTCACCAGAGTGGGGAGGGAGCCCCAGCACACATCCCAGCATCAGCTATGAAAGTATGATAGTCCACATCTCAAGAGGGGACATGCAGGCCACACATGTGCTCGGGTACCACATGTGCTCAGCAACTACACATGGGCATAGGCAGCACAGGGGTGCACGCAGCATATGCGTCTCAGGGGCACATTTTTGTATTTTCCATTTCCTTAATTACAGATTAGGATGATGGGATTGAAAAATAATAGCCAAGTAAAATAGTGGGAACAAGCTCTATATACTCGTAAGGTGTAATCCTCAGCACCTACTAAGTAAAACAGTAAGAAGAGGGTTGGGATGGGAATTGACATACAGACCTGTCATATTAATATTACCATACATATTACCATATATATTACCATATTAATAATAGAAATTATAATTGAAGTAAAGCTTACCAGAGGGTCATGTGCAGAAAGCCAGAGGGATGGACGTGGACCTTGTTTTAGCTTAAAGGCTTTATATTTTGCATAACTGTAAAATCTTAAAGTTTAGTTTAACTTTTTTAGCAATTAAGAAAGTAATTCTTAGTTGTCTAGACGTCGGGTAGCTCTAACTGTTCTCATCTTTATATATCGTTTGTTAAAGCGCTTTTCCTCTACAGGCATTTGGACAGCAGCTCTGAGCCGGGACTTACCTTGGGAGGCTACTTCTGCCCCCAGTGTCGGGCAAAGTACTGCGAGCTTCCAGTTGAATGTAAAATCTGTGGTAAGAAACCATCCAGGCTTATTATCCAGGAAATTCATCTTGAATAATTTCTAACCTCTATTGCTGTTAAAATGAGTGTTAATATTGAGTTCTGCCTTTGTTTCTGTGTTTAGCCCGAGAAGGTAAATGTATTCCTGTTTTCTTTTGGGGAGAGGGCCAACCCTGGCAGTGCTCAAGGCTTTCTCCTGGCTCTGTGCTCAGGGATCGCTCTTGGTGGTGTTCAGGGTAACTATTTGCAGCGCCAGGGATTAAATTGGGATCAGCTGCATGTAAGGCAGATGCCTTGACCCCTTTACTGTCTTTCTTGTCCTTAGATTACTGTTTTTGAGTGTCTAGTACTCTTATTTATTTATTTATTTATTTAATTTTGAGAGGATGAGGCGAGGGCTATCGCTAACATAGCAGTGCTCAGGAGACCATGAGTTGTACCAGGGGTTGAACTGGAGTCAGCCAAATGCCAGAATATCACCTCACCCATTGTACTGTCTCTCCTGCCCCCAGTGCTCTTTCTCTAAGAATAACCATGAGGGGCCAACAGTGTAGGCCAGTGGTAGAGTTGCTTCCTTACATACATGAGGCCCTGGGTGTAATTCCTGGTATTGCCAAAAAAGAAAAAAAGAGGGGGAAAAATTTCTGAAGGAATCAGCAGAGTATTCTACCAAAGTTTACTGACGCTTTCTGTTAAAAAAAAAAAAGAGGGGGCTGGACAATAGCACAACGGGTAGCGCGTTTGCCTTACACGCGGCTGACCAGGGTTCAATTCCCAGCATCCCATACGGTCCCCCGAGCTCCACCAGGAGTAATTCCTGAGTGCATGAGCCAGGAGTAACCCCTGTGCATCACTGCGTGTGACCCCCCCCCAAAAAAAAAGAAAAAAATAGTTCAGGGACTGGAGAGATAGTGCAGCAGGTACGGCGTTCGCTCTCCATGCAGGTGACCCTGGTTTGATCCCCGGCATCCCATATGGTCCCCCAGCGCCACAAGGAGTAATTCCTGAGTGCAGAGCCAGAAGTGACCACTGAGCATCGGAGAATCTCTGGGTGCAACCCAAAAACAAACCCAAAAATTTCTTAAGAGCAATGCAGTAAAATCCGGTAAACATTATGCAACTCTTCCCTTTAGAAAATACCCAAAGAGAAATAAGGAATTACTGGAATTGTATAATTTCATTTCGTTTCGTTTCTAAGTATGCAACTGGACCAAGTGTGATCACACAGTGACAGAACAAACATTCTATCCTGGGATCTGCCCAGGATCACTGAGGAAATATGTGACTGCAATTCTGGGGTAGAAATAAAACCAGCTTTGTGAATCTGTAGTTCCAGTTCTGGCAGTGGACATGTCAGCCACTGTCTTTATGAGGGTTGGGCTCCTAACAGTGTTCCTCTGCTTTATCTGCCAGGCCTCACACTGGTATCCGCTCCTCATTTGGCTCGGTCTTACCATCACTTATTTCCCTTGGATGCTTTTCAAGAAACTCCCCTCGAAGAACATAATGGAGAAAGGTATCATAATTTTGAATTTTGATTAATTTATATCTAAGAGGTAAAATAGGGTTTGTAAATACCTTGATACTACTATTTAAAAAAATAAATATTAAAGGGAAAATTAGCTGGGACATGAGATGTGTCATTATCACGCTGATCTTTATCTCCAGAAGTATGTTAATTACTGTAGGCCCATGTATGTATAGTAGAAGTGGATAAATTAGCTTCCCCAAAAGTGATACGAGCCCTGGTTTGTAACGCTGATTGGTTTCTGTCATGTGAAAGTGGAGACTGGAAAGGTTTGCTATCAGTAATCTGAGAGAGAAAGATTAAATGAAGATTCATAAGAAACTCTTGGCCCAAGGAAATTTTTTACTACTTAAGGACAGAACTTTCAAGACTGAAAGGACTTGTCAAGTACAAGTCATAGATTAAGAACAATTTATCACTGTGAATTTCAGGATATGCAGCAAAATACTAATCTTGAAGTTTCTGGAGATGGAAAATTAGGTTACATACTAAGAATATGTAATTATAACAGTTGTTTGGCTTCTCACCAACAACGCTGGATACTGACAGCAGTTTCCTTTGAAATTTAGGAGTGAAAATTATTACCAACCTAAATAATATATCCACTGAACTACCAGTTAAATGTAGGTAGGATGAGGAAAACTGAAGCAAAAATAAACAAGTGGATTGCATCAAATTAAAAGCACCTTTATAGGGAAATAAACTACAATGAAAAGAACAACAACAAAAAAAATCCAGGCCAGAGAATTAGCACAATGGGTAAGATGCTTACCTTGCATATAGCTGACCTATGTTGGTCCCTGGCAGCAATTATGGTCCCCCAAGCACTGACCAAAGTGATCCTTGAGCACAGAGCCAGGAGTAAACCCTGAGCACAGCTGGGTGGACCCCAATATGAAGCGAAGTGAAACATATTTTTCAAAAACCCTTCTCAGGTGTTGCAACAATAATACAGCAGCAGGTAGGGTGTTTGTCTTGCATGAGGCCCACCTAGGTTTGATCCCCAGCACCCAAAATGGCCCCTGAGCCCACCAGGACTTATCCCTGAGTGTAGAGCCCGGAGTAAGCCCAGAGCACCTCCCAACAAACAAACAAACAAAAATGATGCTTCCGAATAGGAGAAGATATTTGCACATACTGCATCTGGAAAAGGGCCAACATATAAGATAGCAAAGGAATCACAAAGCTGAACAACAAACAACCTCATCAAAAAATGAGGAAAGGATAGGGACAGACAAAACATGGAGAAGTATTAATTCTCACTTATCAGAGAAATACAAATCAAGAATGACAGTGAGTTACCTCCTAACAGCAGTGAGAATGATATATCCAAAAGACCAGAAAGCAAATGCTAGCAAGAAGTGGAGAAAAGGGAACTTTATGTGTTTCTTTTTGTTCTGTTTCTTTGTTTGGGTCTCACCCTGTCGCACTCAAAGTTTACTTCTGGGTTTGTGCTCACGGCTCACTCCTGGTGATGCTCAGGGATGGTGCTCACCGTATGTGGTGGTAGGAATTAAAATGGGGTTAGCCACACACACATAAGGCAAATTGGTCTCCCTGTTGTACTGTTTCCCTAGCCCCTTCATTCTTTGTTGGAGAACTGTGAAGTGGTTTTGCCTCTATGGAAAAAAAGTTATATGGAAGTTTCTCGAAAAATTAAAAATGTAACAGCCACGTGATTCAGCATTTACCGTTAGTAGTTATACAGCTGAAGAATACAAACATACTCATTTGAGGGAGAAAGAGCTAGAGCGTGCTCAAATGGTAAAGCACACATGTCCCACACTCAGGGCCCCGAGTTTGATCCCTGGCACTGCATGGGTCCTGAGCAACACCAGGGCTGCACTTGGTGGCCCCCAGCAACGCCTGTCCCAGGTCCTGAACTCTATGAGAGGCTCGTATTAAAAAAAAAGCAAGCCTTGGGACCAGAGTAATAGTACAATGGGTAGGCGCTTGCCTTCCACGTGGCTAACCCAGGTTCGATTCGTAGAATTCCATGTGGTCCCCCAAAACCCCACCAGGAGTGATTTTCTGAGAGCAGAGCCTGGAATAACACCTGAGTATCACTGGGTGTGGCTTCAAAACAGAAGGGGAGGGAAAAAAAAACAACCCCTGAGCACTCCTGGATGTGGCCACCCTTTCCCTCCCCAAAAAGAAAATCACAACAAAAAAGAGTCACAAAGGACAAAAATCTAATACCAAAAGATCTGTGCACAGCTGCCCTCTTTACAGTGCTGTTTGCAGTCCCAGGCTATGGCGGCAGCCTGCAGACTAGTGGGTAGAGAGAAGGTGAGGCCAGGGAATGGGTCAGTGGCGAGCACCTGCCCGCAGGGACGAGGTCCTCGGTTTGACCCCAGCACCCATCCAGACGGTGAGTACCCTCTTGGCATGCGCAGAACACGGCCCCTCTGGAGTGAGCCCACAGCCAAGGGTGCGCATGGCCAGGCCATCACCAGCACAGAGGAAAGAGAGGGAAGGAGAAGCAAAGAGAAGCCGTATGTGTATGCACACGCATATATGCCGCAGACTGCTTGCTGCTCGACTGCAAGGGAATAGCAGTCTTGCTCTTTCTGGCTGCAAGGACGGAGCACGTAAGTCAGAAGGAGAAAAACTGAATGAGCTCCCTCATCGGGGGATATAAAGACACACCGAGGGGTCAGACAATGGCCAGTGAAAAGAAACCCTCACATCTGACCAAGAACTGAAGCTTCTAAGGTCAGGGTCGGGCCAGGGAGCTAAAGGGTCCTGGGGACCATGGGGGAAGGGTATTGGCACTTTGGTGATGGCTGTGGTGTGGTGATGTCTCCCAGAACATACAGTTTTGTGAATTAATGTTAGCACAGTACCATTAAAATAATAATAATAATAAGGTAGCATTTTCAGATTCATAAGATCTCTAAAACGCTCCCTGGGGAAATTTAAACAACAGAATGAATGAAAGAGAAGTTTCTTCTCTTCTTGGACCACGCTTGACGGTCCTCCGGGGCGCTTCCTAGCTCAGTGCTCAGGGATCCAACCCACAGTTCCTGCTTGCGCAGCCTTTCCTTCCGCCTGCTGAGCTGTCTCCTGGACCCCAGCAGGGGACTTTCATCTAATTCAGAAGTGGCTAACCGAAGCCCAAGAGATGGGATGATGTATTTGTGTGTCTGGAGAGGAAATCAGTGCGAGTGGGAGACGTCTGGACTGCTCCAGAGCAGATGCCACCCCCAGAACAAAGAGCATGGAATTCCTGACATGGCTGACGACTACAAAGGACATGAAAAGTACTCAAGGGAAGGTTGCTGCGGCAACAGTACAGAAGATTAACAGGCACGGCTTTGGTTCCAGATGCTTGAAAAATTTTATTTTTATTTACTACATTTCTGTCCACACCTGGAGGTGCTGGGGGCAGGGGTGCCGTGCCCTACCGTGCAGCAGGAGGGACCAACGGAGCTCAGAGACGAATTGAGTCTGGGTCAGCCACATGTATGGAAAACGCCCTACCTGCTGTATTATCTTTCTGGCCCCAGTACCAAGAACTTTTAACTCTTTAAACCCTTTCTTGGAAAGCAATCTCATGATGCTGGGACGATGGTTCAAAAGCTGAAACAGGTTTATAGCAACCTGGCTTTGATTCCCAATTAGCTCTTTCTCTGCTGCCCCTCTCGAACTGTGTCAGCTCTCTGCCTTCTTGGGCAAAGTTGAAAAATACCCATACCGTTTTCTGCTGGGCTGAATTCCTTCACAGACTTCATCTGAGAAAGCCTTGGACAGAGAGCTAGAACAGAGGTTCGGGTTTTCCTTGCGTTCTGCAGCACCACAGGTGGTTCCCCGAGCACCTCCAGGGTCACTTCTGAGAGCTAAACCAGGGGCAGCCTTTGAATTCTACTGGGTATGGCCCAGAGCACCCCCTCTCCAGCCCATTGTACTTAAATGTAATTATTAAAGGATTTCTATTAACTAAAATCTATTAATGAGTGAATTCTAAACAAAATGATTCTGAATTTTCTTTTCCAGATTTTGCTTTGGATGTCAGGGGGAGCTGAAAGACCAACATGTAAGTACATGTACTCTAGATATTAAGTGTTCCGCAAGAAATCATGAGGAAAAGGTACTGTGATAAGCTTTGCATAGACATTAGTGCATGATTCTTTTTTTTTTTTTTTTTTTTTTTTTTTTTTTTTTTGCTTTTTTGCTTTTTGAGTCACACCCGGCGATGCTCAGGGGTTATGGGTTATTCCTGGCTCATGCACTCAGGATTACTCCTGGCAGTGCTCGGGGGACCATATGGGTTGCTGGGACTAGAACCTGGTCGGCCACGTGTAAGGCAAATGCCCTACCAGCTGTACCATCACTCCAGCCCCTAGTGCAGGTTCTTTAGAAACATTGAGTAAGTAGAAACAAAGTGGGAGCAAAGGGATTTTCAGCAGTTGTTTAATAACTCTGTCTTTTCATTTTGCTTAAAAAGTAAGTTAGCGCTAGTGCTGGAGCTAAGTACAGCAGGTAGGGTGCTTGCCCTGCACACAGCTGACCTGGGCTCTATTCCAGGCTCCCCGTATAATCCTCCAAGCACCACTAGGAGCAGTTCCTGATTGCAGAGCCAGGAGTAAACCCTGAGCCTCGGCAGTTGTGGCCCAAAGACAAAAACTGTAGCACTGTAGCACTGTCCTCCTGTTGTTCATTGATTTGCTCGAGCTGACACCAGTAACATCTCCATTGTGAGAATTGTTGTTACTGTTTTTGACATTGAATATGTCACGGGGAGCTTGCCAGGATCTGCCATGCGGGCAAGATACTCTCGGTAGCTTGCCGGGCTCTCCGAGAGGGGCAGAGGAATCAAACCCAGGTCAGCTGGGTTGGCTGCACGCAAGGCAAACGCTCTAACTGCTGTGCTATATCGCTCCAGCCCACGACAAAAACAAAATGTTTAGAAGGTTTAATTAAAAATTTAATTATAACTTTTATAGTTAAAGTCATTCAAGGAATAACTAAGGCTGTGTTACAGTTTTCTGATTTTTTTTCTTTTTTGTTTCATTTTCAACTATTGATTTATTTTTGGTTTTTGAGCCATACCTGGCTGTGCTCAGTACTGACTCTTGGCTTTGCACACAGGGATCAGGGACCTTATATGGTACCAGGGATCAAACCTAGGTCAGCCAGATGCAAGGCAATCACCTTAGCCTCTGTTCTAGTACTCTGGGCCCTTGTTTCAAATGGATTTTATTGAAGTACGGGTATTTACAGTACTGTTAATTGTACTTCCACTGGATACATCATTCCAATACCAACCTCCATCAGTGTCCTTAGGACCCCTCCCAGCCCCTCCTCCCATGTTAGCTCAGTTCTATAGACAAAATCTTCAATTCTGATCCCTTTGACCATGTTATTTCCTTACTATGTTTCTTTGGGAGGGTATGGGGGGGACACACATCCAGTGATGCTCAGGGCTTACTCCTGGCTCTGCACTCAGGAATCACTCCTGGTGGTGCTTGGGGGATTGTATTGATGCCGGGGATCAAACTCAGGTAGTCTAGCTAAGCTGTGTCTAACTTTCAGAAATTACTTTTACTTTTTCCTCTAGGTCTACCTCTGCACTGTGTGCCGGAATGTTTTCTGTGCAGACTGTGATATTTTTGTTCACGATTCTCTCCATTGCTGTCCTGGATGTATTCATAAGGTTCCAACATCCTCAGGTATTTGACCCCAGCATCTTGGACACATTGTGTGTGTGTGTTTAAAAGAAATGCGCGAACTATAAATAAAATGATCCTTTAGGAGAACCTGCAATTAGAATGAAGAATAGTTTGAAAGGAGAATCTGATTTAAGAAACTTTTTTCTAAGGAAATAAATTACTGAATTTCAAAATGTTCTGTCCTTTCCCAGAAATGCCTGGAACTCAGTAACACTTCCAAGTCATTAATCAGTATTGTGTTTAATTATCATATAATGATTAAATTGATGTGATCAGGGGCTGGAGCAATAGTACAGTGGGTAGGGCACTTGCGTTGCATGTGGTTGGCCCAGGTTCAATCCCTGCATCCCATATGGTTCCCTTACCCCTGCCAGGAGTAATTCTTGAGTACTAAGCCAGAAATAACCTCTGAGCATCTCATAGTGTGGCCCAAAAACAAAATAAATGAACAAAAGATTAAATTGATGTGATTAATTTATCACTTTAAAATTCAGGTAAGGGCAGGAATGATAGTACCAACAGTTAGGGCAGTTGCCTTGCACACAGTTGCTTTGACCTGGGTTCGATCCCTAATACCCTTTTTGTCCCCTGAGCTCCACCAGGAGTGATCCCTGAGCTCAGAACCAAGAGTAAGCCCTGAGCACTCCCAGGTATAGCCCAAAAACCAAAACAAAACAAAAAAATTATTTTTAGTTTAAAAAAAATAGAAAATTGGGGGCCAGAGAAATAGTACAGCAGGTAGGGCACTTGCCTTTCATGTGGCCAGCCCAGGTTTAATCTTTGGCAACCCATATGGGTTCCCTGAGCACTGTTAAGAAGTGAAGACTGAGTGCAGAGCCAGGAGTTACTTCTGAGCACTGCTGGCTGTGGTCCAAAAAACAAAAACAAAATCAAGTAAGTTCAGATCTTGGAGATTTATTTTTAGTTGAAAAAGAAAATTAAGTCTAGAACCAGAGAGATAATACAAAAGTGAAGGCCTTGCAGACAACTCTGGCTGTGGCCGTGGTTCATGTCTTATCACTGTATATAGTATCCTGAGCCCTGGAAAAAAAAAGTATAAATTCAGTGTAAGGTGTAAAATAATACATTAGAAAGTATATATTGCAATCCCAACAAATCCCTTTGGCTAAATGACCAGAATATTAATTATAAAATTATTTGTAGCTATGCCCGGCGGGTCCCCCCCCAGGTTTGTTTTATGTACTCAGTTGGGGGTCTGCACCCAGTAGTGCTCAGGGAGCACCACCAGCTCCGTGCTGGGGCCACTGCTGGTGGTGCTTAGGGGACCGAGCAGTGCCCAGGTGGAGCCCAGGCTTCCGGCATGCAGAGCATGTACTTAGGCTGCTTGAGCCATCTCCGGCGGTTCTCAGTTTAAATGCTCAAGTTCAGAAGGTGACCGGGGCCTACACCTGGCTGTAGTTTCCTGGGAGGGCTGTTGGACAGGACCAGTGGGGGTCCTGGTAAGCGCCGGGCCACCCTCCTTAGCTCTCAAGGGTCTTTCAGTGGTTCACCAGCAAAGAGCAGGTGTGGGGCCACAAGATCCCCCATAGCCTGCAGGAAAGGTAAGTTCTGTCTCCTGTAACAATTTAGGTCCTAAGGAACCCAGATACTTTGCTAGGTGAAAATATTTTCTCCCCATTGCATCGCCAAGGATCGAACCCAGGGCTCATGCATGCCAGGCCTTCCTTTACCAGGAACCACATCCCTGGTCCTGGACACATTTGCTTTCTAGGTAACCAGGTCACCACTGCCCGCCTTCCTCCTGCTCTGGCAACAGCGTATTAGTGGCTTGGCCCAGGCACCTTGCTGTGAAAGGCTCTACGTGGTCCCCCTGAGTCGGTGCTAGTAGGAACGCACCTTTACTGTCTTTGGGCTACTCTGTCTCTGTGCTTTGGAGTTTCTTTGGGTGCCTTGTTTTTGGGCGGCCACACCCGCTGTGCTGGGGAAATGACTCTTGTTGTGTGCTCAAGGGGTGCTCCTGGCTGAGCTCAGGGACCATGAGGTGCCAGGGACTGGACTGGCCATGTAGCATGGAAAGCCAGTGTTCTGTCCACTGAGCCTGCTCTGGCCCAACTTTTGGGTTTCATTTGCATGCTTGTAAGAGGTCTAAGTAAATCTATTTTGTTATGCGTAGGGAGGAATTTCTTTTTCTCACTAGTATAGAGAAAATCCTGATTTGTTCAAGACTGTAGAAACAGAAATGGTCATCTAAGACTATAGTTCTTGCCTTTAATGTCTCTCTTGAAGAACCACAATATGATGCAAATGTGAAGGCAACTCTAACATTCTAGATCTTTCTGATAGTGTGTGTGAGTCCTGTTGTTTGATTTACTTGAGAACTCCTTTATACTTAAAGTCATTATGAAAATGATTGTGATTCTTTTGAATGTATATATGTATAGTTTTTAACCCCTTATTTTTATTTGGCTTAATGGTCTGCCATCTAACTAAAATTTTCACTTATATTTCATGTATATTTGGGTTTAAACCTATGAGAAGTGATTAGCTGAGAAGCATGTGAGCTCTGTATTTAAGTGCCACTGTGTGACCCCTGCCCTCCCAATGCCCAAGTTTATGTCATATTCAAAACCCTGACATAACAGAATGGTGAGGGGGGACAGAGCCTCCGCTGCCCACAATTCAGGTAAAAAGAAGAACTGGTGAAAGAAGAACTTGGTAAGATTTTGTAACGTCCTCCTGCTGGGGTCCTGTCCATGTATGGAGATAGAGCGGTCACTTGTGACAGGCCAACCCTCAGAAGGAGTGTCATTGGCCCCAGGGCTCAGGAGAAAAAGGAAGTTGGAAAAAGGAAATAGGAAATTGCCATGCTTCTGGGACATGGCTTTAGGATGGTTCTCTGACTTCGTTTAGGTCAATGGTTCTGTAAGCATCAATACTTGTTTTTCTTTCCACCTTCTCTAATCCTGTACATGAGTATATTTTGTATATGTACCGAGAATTTCTTTCTTTTCCTCTTCTTTGTTGCGGGGGATTGAACCCAGGACCTCACATGTGCAAGGTGTGTGTTTTACTTGCTTAGCTACCTCCCTGCCCTGCACTTAGAACCTTAAGGGGGGGGCGGGGGGGAGAAAGCTATTGGGCAAGAGATGCAGCTGAGGAGGGAGCATGTGTCTCACACCATGGGGTCCTGGTGTCCATCTCTGGCACTATAGACACACACAAACTCTCCAATTTGTTGAGCTGTAATTTACGTATTATAAAATGCTTCTGTTTTAAGTGACCGGATCAGTGCCTTTTGACAAAAGTATATACCCAGGCTACGACTATCTTAACAGTGAGGGAGCATTTCTGTCAGCCCCGCCAGCCTTTTGATTCTGCACTCCCCAGGACATCTAGCAACAGAAGCTCCTGATGCATTTTCTAGCAGAGTAGATTGCTGTTGCCGTTTCACGGTCCCTTACGAATTGAATCCCACAGACAAAAAGCTTTACTGTCTTTGAGGTTCATCCACATCGTGTCTCAATAGTCTTTGCATTTTTGCTACATACAGACATTCTGTTGTTCTGTTGTATGGATACTTTGTGTATTATTTTATTCCCAGGTTGCCTTTGTTATGAATAAAACTCTTTGAGTGTTTCCTTTAACTCTGTGTTGATGCTCTTATTTTTCTTGGGTAAAGAGGTAGAAATAGAATCTCTAACATCGGATCACTCGGGGTTTCTTATATAATCAGCGCCTCTCAACCAGAGCCCTCCCGGCCCCCAGAAAATTCCCAGGAGAGTACAGGACTTAGGCACTTGGCTCACCCCGGTTCAGTCCCTGACACAGCATGGGTCCCCTGAGCACCACCAGGAGTGATCCCTACGCACAGAGCCAGGAGTTAGCCCTGAGCATAGCTGGATATGACTCCTAAAACAAAAATATTTTTAAAAATTGGATAGGGATCGGAGATAGGGACCGCCCAATGGGTAGGATGCTTGCCTTGTACATGGTTAACCTGGTTGTGATCCCTGACACCACACATGGTTCGCTGAGCCCTGCCAGGAGGGATCCCTGAGCACAGAATTAGGAGTCAGTCTGGGACACCCCTATCCTTCCCCCCTCAAAAAAAAATAAAAACAGACTGTTTCAGCTGTTCTTGCACAGAGAAGCCAGTGCACTGGCACCCGCAAAGAAACCCTCAAGAACTGGCCTCTCCCTGCCTGCCCTAACACTTTGCTGTGTGGCCCTGGAGGCCTTCAGCCTTCCCTGCTGAGCACTTAAAATATTAGGCCCACACAGTCCACCAGAATATCTCCAGGAATGACCCCCAGACCCTGAGCAGTGCTGGAGTGGCATCTGTCCTCTTCTCAAATAATGGTAAACAGGAAAAAATGTAGCTTCGTGGTAGGTCCTGGTATGCTCAGTATGCGCAGCCCTGGGGTCGGAGCCCCAGAACACCACGAAAGGAAAATGAACCAAGAGGCCTGTTCCCATTCTGGAATCCAGGGGCTCTCTGCTGTATCTTCCAACTCTCCAATGGTAATAATTCCTTTTCTTGGGGGTGGGGGACACACCCAGTGATACCCAGGGCTAAACTCCTGGCTGTGTGCGCAGGGATCACTTCCAGTAAGGCTCAAGGTATTAGACCAAACCAAGGTGAGCTGTGTGAAAGGCAAGTGCCTTACCCCTGTAACATCTCTGGCCTCCAGTGATGGTAATTCTTCATTTCAACAGTCCTATTTTTCACTTCCCCTAGTTCTTTCTTGTTCTCTGTTATTTTTATATATAATCCTTGTACTGTCTCTCTGGCCAAGGAGAGAGTATATTATGAGGGAAGAAAAGGGGCCGGAGTGATAGTACAGCGGGTAGGACGTTTGCCTTGCACGCAGCCAACCTGGGTTGAAAATTCCAGCATATCATATGGTCCCCCAAGCACCACCAGGAGTAATTCCTGAGTGCAGAGCCAGAAGTAACCCCTAAGCATTGCTAGGTATGTCCCAAAAAGAAAAAAATAAGAAAACTTCAAAATTCTTTGGGAGTACCAGAAAGAATGGAAAAAGAATTGTAGGATATTCTCAGATCATAAAAGATTATGATTTATGAAGCCCAGGGCTGATGTTTCAGTAGAAAAAGCAGAGTCATTTAAAAAAAAGGGGGGAGGGGCTCGAGTGATAGTACAGCAGGTAAGGCATTTGCCTTGCACCCAGCCGACCCAGGTTTGATTCCCAGCATCCCATATGGTCCCCGGAGCACAGCCAGGAGTAATTCCTGAGTGCATGAACCAGGAGGAACCCCTCTGCATTGCCAGGTGTGACCCAGAAAGAAAAAAAAAAAAAGAAAAAAAAAAGAAAGAAAAGAAAAAGCAGAGTCATGGTGCTGAGTGAATGTAAAATGTACAGTGAGTATAAAAAGGCCCACACCTAGACACATGGTTTTGAAAATACCTTATTACTTTTTTTGTTTTTTGGTCTGGGACCACACCTGACAATGCTCAGGGCTTACTCCTGGCTCTGTGCTCAGGGATCACTCCTGTTAGGTTCTGGGGACCATAAGGAGTTCTGGGGGTCAAACCCAGGTTGGACTCATACAAGGCAAGCACCCAGTGTAGTATCACTCTGGTTCCTCCCACATTTTAAAAAATAATTTGATTTATCTTTGATGTATGGGGAATTAACGCAGCAAGACAAGTGCTCTATCACTGAGCCAATATCCTGGGCCTATTTTAAACATGTATAGCTTCCAGAATAAAAAGACAAACTCCTAAGAGGAACCAGAAAACTAGAAACTTCATTGCTTCTCAAGACTGACCACTTTACTGGTCAGTCTTGAGAAGCAATCTTAGAATTAAAAAAAAAAAAGAAAACCCTTACTGTTGTGGGTCTTGTTTAGATTTTGTTCTTCCTTCTGGGTCTTGACTCACCCGTGTTGACACAGAACCCAGGGCATGTTCTGGAAATGTCTGTGCAATCCGAGTTGCAGTTCCTCCAAACATTCTCATTGCTTCACGGGACACGGGGAGAAACTGGTAGAGCATTGCTGCTTGGGCCCTTGTTCTGCCCGGGTGCTGCGGCTGCATTTGACTGAGTCTCTGGATTAAACCCTGAGGTGAGTGAATGTCTTTTCTGACACAGCAGCTTTCCTTCCTTTCTCTGCTTCCCACCTGCTTGTTTCTCTGAGGCCAGAGATCCAGCACAGGATTCTGCGGCTAAATCCTGCTTCTTGGTATCTTACCATGGCCGCTGTAGCAGCCAGCAGAGAACATCAACAGGTTTAGAGCCTGGGTGTCCATCACTTTTGCCCTGGGAGAAGTAAAATCAACCACTGGGGCGGGAGAGATATAGTACAGAGGTTAAAGCATTTGCCTTGCATGCAGCTGACTCCGCTTTAACTCCCCCAGACCACATGGATCCCCAAGCACCACTAGAAGTGACCCCTGAGCACAAAGCAAGGAGTAGCCCCCGAGCTCTATTGGATGTGACTCAAACAGAGCTTTGTTATGTGCATGCAGGATTGATCCCAGCTGCTGTGGAGCTGCCACTGCCTTCTTACTGGTTCATTTTCTCTGGGGAGGTCTGGAGCCTTGGTACTGGCTAATGTAATACTGAGTGGAGTTTCATGCTAGAGTCTGAGACACACCAGCTCATACTTGTATTAAACATGTGACCTGGGGCCGGAGTGATAGTACAACAGGTAGGTTGTTTGCCTTGCATGCAGCCAAACTGGGTTCGATACCTGGCATCCCATATGGTCCCCGAGCACCGCCAGGAATAATTCCTGAGTGCAGAGGGAGGATCAGCCCCTGAGCATAGCCAGGGTGTGACCCAAAAAAGCAAAAACAAAAATCTATGTTACCAGGGGAATGGAAAAAAACCTTCTTAGGGCCCCCTGAGCCAGCTGGCTGTGACTCAAAGACCAAAAACAAAGGGTATCTACCTAAGTGGGGAAGACAGTAGGGCAGGAGAGAGTGCCTTGCGAGCAGGAGGCATTCTCCAGTCCCCAGTACCCTAACCTACCATGATTCCCTGAACTCCCCTAAGCACCACTGGGGAACTCCTTATTAAAATTTACATCCTGGACTGGGGGTGTGGCTTAGCAATAAAATGCATTCTTGCACGCACGAGACCTGGGTTCAGTCTTCAGTATTGCAATAAATGGATTAATAAATACCCTCAGGAGAGCTTGGTTTGCCAAGAGAAAGGTCTCTTGCAGGTCTGGGGTTCAGATGAAGCACAACCCTCATAGACTGGGCTGCAGGTCTGAGACCTCTGTGATATTTGCTGGTTATTGAATTTTTATGCTTGTTTCTTTTACCTGTATCAAAAGTTCTATCCAAGGCATTATGCAGAGGCTTGATATTTTTCCCCTTAACTTATCCCAGCCTGCACAGCTGTTGAAGCTGCCACTGTGTACGAAATAACTGAAATGGTTTTGACATTATTATTTACGTCAGGACTTCTTAAACTTTTCCACATGGAAACCCTTTTCACCAAAGATATGTTACGCAGGAAGCAGATGCTGGAAATACCCCCAGACTCATTATACCATTGGTTTGGTTTTGTTTGGGGAGGGATTGGCCCACACCTGGCAGTGCTCAAGGCTTACTCCTGGTTCTATGCCCAGGGACCACTACAGGTTCGGGAGACCACATGTGGCTCCAGGGATCAAACCAGGGTGAGCTGTATGCAAGGCAAGTGCCTTACCCCTCATACTATCTCTCCGATCTTCAGGAACTCTGGATGGGGGGAACAGCAAAGCATCAGGATGGAAAGGCGGTGGGTCTAGGAGTAGCTGATCTTGTCTCAACCAAGTTCAGACAGAGGGGAAGTTGTCCAGGGCTGGAGTGGGCTGCGCTGGCAAAAATGAAATTATGAACATCAGCCACCAAGCCACCAAGCTTTGGCTTATTCTTTCTGTTGGAGCAATTAATTCTTTGATCTGAATGTGACTCTCATCTCTGATCGACTAAAGAGATTCAACAGAGCCAGGGAACCAAAAGAAACAAACTATTGTGTTGAGAAGTTAAGTAATCTGTCCAGATGACAAAAATGTCCTGGGCAGCCACTGCCCAGGTGTGCTGGACACACAAGCAGTGAGGAAGCTCTTTTCCTTGCTTTGGGGGCAGCTGATCTT